TTGTTCTATCACTATTTTGCATTCTTCAAAGAAATTGGGAAAGCTTTGAACTTCCTTGAGTAACTTAAGCTTCTTCAACACTCTTGCAAAAAATTCTAGCAAGATATACAATACTGATCAAGCAATATTTCCTTATCCTGATGCTATTATTTATTCTACCATAGAGGGTTCAGGCACAAAAGCACATGAATATATCACTGGCCCTGACAAGATAAAAATGAGAACTGGTGTATGAAAAAATAACCAGTCTGCTGGCGACTACTGTCAAACTCAACATTTCACATATCCGTGTCCCTAGGATTCTTTTGGAGGCCCATCCAAGAAACATGCTTCCAAGAGTGGATTCACATATTATGGACATTCCTGATTTAACATGAATTTGATTCATCAATTTTAATACTACAATCAGATCACTGGAAACTTACTGAAGCCCATGCTTTCTTCTTCACAGTAGTCTCTTCAATCAACTTCATGAACACTACTCTCACATACAAGAACGTTAAAGAATTCATGGACTCCTGAGTTTTGCTTGTCTTTGAGAAGGTGAGAGAATCTAAATTATGCAGAAAAATTTAATCACATTGTGCACAAGATGGCATGTAGGCTTTCTCTGCAATACCTATACTGAATTTTCTGAAGGGATTTAGCATAACTTCCTAATAAAACACCATGATATGAACACTGGAATTTCTAAGTATCATTTGTAGAATTAGTACGTTATTCAGAGTAAATTAAAAAAACAGCCAGGTTAAGTATTGGCAGATTTGTTATGATAAATAAAGTCCAGGAAAACAAAATATCAAAAGTAGAACAAACAGTATAAACGGACAGAAACCTCCACAAAAAAAATACATACTCTTACCAACTATGTATCTGTAGACAAAATTTAAGGAGTACGGCTTTGCTTTATAGAAAAGGAGAATATTAAAAATTAAGAGAAGGGCCAGCCAAACAGCCCAGTAGATTACAGTGCCTGCAAGCAGGTACAGGGGCCAGGGGCTCAATCCCTAAGCCTGCAGTGCTGGCCCCATTTCCGGGCCAAACTCAGACTACAATTAAGACTGGGCATGGTGGCAAGCACCTGTAATCCCATGTCTTGGAAGGCTGTAAACAGGTGCATCACTGTAAGTCTGATCTAGTAATGAG